TCGAATCCGCCCGCCGTGCCGTTCTCAAGCCCGCCCGCATCAACAGTATGGTAGGGGCGTAACATTTACGTCACTCGCTTGAGGTATTCGGCCAATCACAACGCACTGGCTAGCTGGCCAATCAGAGCACACCTCGCTTTTCAGACCGATGAGCTTTGTAAAAATCGAAAGGCGTTTCAGAAAGGCGGGGCATAGAGGAGAAACAATAATGTACATTATGTGGAAAATAATGTGTTTTTTTAAACTTAAACTGCATAAACACATTACATTACACCAAATACACAAAATAATGTTCTTTTTAGCAACGTCATATGACCCCTTTAAGATTTTGTAATAAAAATGTTATAACTTTGAACTATCTATTTCTGAGTTGTTAACTAGATGCAAGGATCAACAGCTGGTAGTAGAACACAAAATGATGATGCAAACGTTCCAAAGTTTGGTGCCAAATGATTCAGTGTGAATACAGAACTGCAGGGAGAATCAAACTGGGTTTCGGACATAGCAATTGAAAAGTATCTAATTATAGCCTAAAAATTTGAAGGATGTTTTTTGCACTACGCTTTGTTTATACTGATGAAGATGGTTGCATATGGTTTAGTCCCTTGCCAAGAGATCAGGGTACTGCGCACCTGTCTGCAGGCTGCCGCAGCGCTAGAGGCTTTCTGGGAGAGATTTGATGCCTGGGGCTGACTTTTTGTTGGAGCCATTGATCGGAGGGACAGAATTGGATTGTGTAGCTTATTACTGGTGTCAGGGAACATTACATGGGGGAGAGATAGAGCCCTTCTTCATCGGTGCAGGACCCTGCTGCAACTCAAATTACTTTTATCACTCTTGGCTACGCTGGTACCACCCACGGCGGAGAAACACCAGACATTATGCTCTCAGTCGCAGCGAAATTCTGCAATAACCTTCTAAATGTTTGCCGCCATCTGTGAGACATCAGGTATTATTTCAGAGAAAGCGCAACATTCAGCAAGCATCAATCCTGTGTGCTGTTCACTTTCTAATGAAAAAAGCAATATAGTGTGTGCTGTCTTACCATAATGTGTTAATGCTGCTCAATATCTTGAATATAGGAATTTAAATTGACTATAGTGTGTAACAATGGCGAGTCATTATTGCCATCATCATTGTGAATGGTTTTATTTTCTTTAGAATACAATTTACCTTAACCAGCCCATTCTCTGAAAAGACAATGAAATGTTGTTGGGCAATGCAGTGCAATTGGAAATGTCTATCACGCCAGCCTGGATATGCATGTAGGGAACCAAGCTGGACTACAGCTCTGTACTAAAACTGCCTACTGTTTACTGAGTGAGTGATTTGGGACACTTTAACTTATGCAGCAACTCCACAGAAATAGTTCTTATGGAGATTTGACTTGCAGATGATTTCAGTAGAGTTTGGCATTAGCATGTTTCTAGGTTAATGTCATGATACTCTAATAAGCATACATGCGTAGCACCTAGCAATATTGGGTGTAGTTCATTTCATTATGAAAAAAGCAATATAGTGTGTGCTGTCTTACCATAATGTGTTAATGCTGCTCAATATCTTGAATATAGGAATTTAAATTGACTATAGTGTGTAACAATGGCGAGTCATTATTGCCATCATCATTGTGAATGGTTTTATTTTCTTTAGAATACAATTTACCTTAACCAGCCCATTCTCTGAAAAGACAATGAAATGTTGTTGGGCAATGCAGTGCAATTGGAAATGTCTATCACGCCAGCCTGGATATGCATGTAGGGAACCAAGCTGGACTACAGCTCTGTACTAAAACTGCCTACTGTTTACTGAGTGAGTGATTTGGGACACTTTAACTTATGCAGCAACTCCACACAAATAGTTCTTATGGAGATTTGACTTGCAGATGATTTCAGTAGAGTTTGGCATTAGCATGTTTCTAGGTTAACGTCATGATACTCTAATAAGCATACATGCGTAGCACCTAGCAATATTGGGTGTAGTTCATTTCATTGATTCATTAATGTATTTCATTAAATATGTTTATTTATAAATGTATTTACATTTGTATAGTCGTACACCATCTTTTTTTTTTTTTTTTTTTTTTTTACAATGCCTTCTCTGCAAATGATTCAACATAGGCTGCCTTAGAAACAAGGTATCTAAGGAGGCAGCATAAGTACATTTCTAGCATTTGCATCTAGAGTGCATTAATGATGACTTAAAATGCTGCCTCAATAGTCAGCTCTCTAGGTTTTAGAACTGAGCATATGTTGCTTGTGGTAGAGAATTGGTGGACTATAGAAAGAGATGATTCAGAGAAATCTGTAAAGCTTCCTGATTCACTCCCATTTGATATCATTTCAACCCTCACAATGTCTGAAATCGGACATCTAATAATCAGATGGTGCTGCCCAACCAGCCATTACTTTATGGGAGTTTGCAGATCTCGAGTTGTGCCAGGCATAGTATAGCTGCAATCAGAGAGCTTAAACAGACTCTTAGATCAGGTTGCTGTGTACTGCACCACTTTTTTTGGCTCTAATGGAGAGCGCAACCAGTGCATATCAATGTAGCATTCTTCAGCTTTTTGGTAGGTTTTCACACAATTAACAATCATAATACACCTCTCATTAAAAACATCCCATGCACCTCCACTTTAATTGTCAATTGCAATAGGTGTGCTCTTGCTGGTGTGTGTGGTGGCAGATTAATTTATCACACACTTCTGTACAGCACATCCATGTATTTATTTACCTTCCCTTTTGTTTGAAAAATGGCTTCCTCTGTACTGTGCCTTGAGGACAGGTAAGTACACCTTCAAGAGACCTGGTGGGGATTAAAACAAATTACATAAGACAGGAAATGCACTCCATCGATGCCTTGAAACCCTTTCATGATGGCTATGTGAACATGAACTTGGAGTGAAATTGGCTTTGTGAATAGAGCTAGCAGACTGTGTAAAAGACAATGGGGCAAGTTGTCTTAGTTCTCCATCAGGGAGTTATGAAGAGTCCCCAAACTAGAGCCATATGGGATACATAGGCTATGTGAAAGGTGGAGGAGCATATGTTTGTGAATTTGCAGTAGGTCGGTACAAAGCGCATTAGTCATCGTTACGTGTATGTCCCACATTTCTGTTGGCAGCTCATTCTTATCAACTGGATATAAAAAATACCGCATTCTTGGCATCCACATCACTTTGCATGATCTCATTGGCAGCATCATTGCAGAGGTTTCTAAAAGTGGATCACTTTAACATGCTAATGATTCCTGTTATTTAAGCTAGCATCTTCATACTTTTACGTTGAATCAGCCATTTGGTGTTGCTCTGCTGAGATTGTTTGTGGTGTTTCTATTCCAGGAAGAAGGAAAGGTGGGCGTAACATTCAACATTGGCACTGTGGACATCAGCGTCAAAGAGATGAATACAGAAGTCAACGATGGAAAATATCATGTTGTGCGCTTCACAAGGAATGGGGGAAACGCCACCTTACAGGTGGACAACTGGCCAATCAACGAGCACTTTCCATCAGGTAACATATGCAGAATGCTAACTACTTAAAGTAAAGTTTCTCAGACAGAAGTGAGATTTTACTGTTAAACCCACTGGATATCATATGCTCCCAAGGAAATATAACATAAAACAACATAATTTTCCTGCCCATGTAATTTATAATCTGCATGTTTCAAAGCATGCAAATTTTTAGAAATAGGAACAGGTGTTCATAATTACAACACTGCTCTCCTTTCTGCTGAGGGAAAGGCATAGAAGAGAAAGGACACTGCAAAGAAGAAAGCAAATGCCACTTAATTCTCGATCGACTTGGCTGATGTTGCTTTCTTAATTGTCCTCAGAAACGTCCATATGTGGGAGTAATCAAGCCTGGGCACCTGGCCTGCCTTTGTCCTCGCGATTAGCACCATGACATCTGGCCAGCTGCTTTTGAGCGGCTTTGAAAGGCAGAGGCAAAAGGAGGGCACAGGTTTAAGGCAGTATTGTGGCAGCTACAGCAGCTGTGGGAGAATGAGCTCCAGACCTCTGTGTATCTGTGACTCCCAGACTTAGGAAGCCAGCAATGATGGATGAATACAAATGAGTTCATCAAATGCAGCAGAGGTTTGTTATAGAACCTCAAGCTTTTCCAACATAGAGAAATAGGGCATGCTGAAATACTGCCCTCAAACGCCATCGAAAAAAACTCTCAAAAACCCTTCACACTCAATTAATTTGGGTTCTGTGTCCTCCACTTTGATGTCTCTGTTGCTTCGGCACCCTCCATGGGATATCTGGCCCCTGCACTTCTCGTCCAATTAGAGAGCAGCTCTCGTCAGGGTTACTCAAGCTGTATTCAACGGCAGGTCTTTCTAAAGAGAGATAGCCTTAAAATGGCCAACATGCAGGCAGAGGGAACAGGCAGAAGGGCACAGGCTAATGCTTTGCTCCCTATTCAAGCTGGTTCTGTTATGGACACTGACAAAGAGCCGGAGAAAGCATGCCATTTTCCTTACAGACTATTAGCCACCCTCAGAGCTAAATATAACACCTGAAATGTCCTAAATGGCCAAACTCAATACATGTAAATTTTGTACATTGAAAAATAAACCTGCACAGAGAAGGGAGAGTGGCTTCTGTTTAAGCTGTTGCATCACTCAGTCTCAAATTAGTCTCAGAGACATGATGTAATGATATAATGATGTAGTCTATGTGAAACATTCATTCAATAGACATTCCTAGTGGTATCTAGCATTATTTTAAATGAGGAGATATTTTTACACAGATTGCAGGATATCTACAGAATCACTGTGAATCTTGTGTTTACTTAGTATCCAGAGTGTAAACCACAAATATGTCATAACCATGTTGATATGAGAATGTTCTGTGATGCGGAAAAAAAAGATATCAAACAAAATATTAGCAAGGATAGATGTTAACATGACTCATCAAACAGAAAAACATTCTGAAAGAGCTAAATCTGAACAATTGTCTTTCTTATTCAATCAATTTACCTTTTAAATACATCTGTCTTTATGTCTGTGCTTTCCTTCCAGTTTAACAACGTCGTTTGCACTGCGCTCTTGCGTTACTTGATCTTTTTATTTTGGTGCGTCAATCTGTTGAGTTACTTAGTATAGGAAATTATGATCCGCACTCACGAGAACAATCTTCTTTTTTCTTTTATTTTACATTCATTACTGATGGGAAAAGACACAAACGTTTCGGCTCAAAGCCTTCCTCAGTGTGTAAAGCAATTCAATCCCTCCACCCACTTTTCAAATCACTAATTATATTGACGTCATCATTCATTAGCCAATGTTCAATTACTACAATCATTAAGTCATTTCCATTTAAATCCTGGACAATTTACATATATATATCCAACACAACACGTCACATCCACTAGTACACCTCACAATATACCCGTGACTAAAACAATAGTTATTTAGGATCACATATTTATCACTATTATACAAACCTATAGTTTATCCTATCAATCATCAATATCTACTCCAATTTTATTTAAATTGTATAACAATGGAAAATTCAATAATTAAGAACATCAGAAATACATCGTCATAAACAATCATTGTTTTTCACACTGTAAATACTCAATTTATTATAAAAAATGAATACGACCAACCATAGTTCATTAAAGAAAGACAGAAAGATCTAATTCCTCAGTTGGTGCTTTCCTTCCATCCATAACACATCTATCTTTCTAGTTAGCTGGCTAGTGTGCTACATTGTTGACCTTGCTATACTGTACTTGCTGTAATAATTGATTTCAGTTCCCGCACCATCTCTTGAGTAATTACAGGCTAGGATTCAGACTCATAGACTGAATAGCACTTGAAATGCTTCACGGCAGTGTAGGGCTGCAACAACTAATCGATAAAATCGAACTATTTTCATAGCATTCAGTTGACACGTTTGTTTAAAGGACATTGGGCAGAATGTGGAAGTGTTTTTTGTCAAAAAAATAAAGAAATGAGAAGATCCGATTAATCGATTAATCGGAAAAATAATCGGTCAACTAATCGATTATCAAAATAATCGTTAGTTGCAGCCCTACGGCAGTGATCCTCTGCGTTCCTGCCTCACTCAATAAACTCTTATCAGATCCATGCAGCTGTGTTGCCATGGCATGGGATGTTTCCAGGGTAGCCATGATCCCTGAGCTTATTCATGTTATACCAGCCTGGTCTCATGTTTATACGTAGGAATTAATACGTAACATTTACAAGCACAAAACGTACATTTTGACATATTTCAACGTTTAAAACGTACAAATCGCTAGTATTTGTACGTTTAAATGCTGAAAATACGTCAGTGTTGTACGTTTTAGTGCCTGTAAAAACGTAAGTAAATGTACGTTTTATAGAACCACATGTTAAGTAAAATACATACGAATTATCATGAGATCACGTTGGTTATACCCAAGCATGATTGTATAAGCAATTGTTGGGGCACACTGAATGCAAGTCAAAAAGAAGATGTGGTTACACTTTATTTTAAGGGGTCCTTGTTACAGTGTAATTATACATATAAGTACTGAGTAATATTAATTAACTACATGTACTTATGGTTAGGGTTAGGATTTGTGTTTGGCTTAGGGTTACTTGCATGTAATTATGCATAATTAATTGTTATTATAATAGTAAGTACATGTAACATGTGTAACAAGGACACCTTAAACCGAAGATGTTTAATGTTAAGATATTTAAAGTTATTTCACCAATAAGAAGTTAAGATATTTAAAGTTATTTGATCAAAAGAAATGCACAAAGTGCAGGGCTTACCAGAGTAACACCAGAGAAATACAATTTTGTCACAATACACAAATACTTTTGAGCTGCTGTTAGATGTGCTGTATGGATTTTTTTATTTTTTTATTTTGACTGTTCTAAAGCATAAAATACCACAATATGTTTTCAGATATGAAGGAAACATGCTAAGTACATTTAGTTATTCTATTCGATGTGTTTTCAGTGTCGATTAATTTGTTCACTGTTGATTAATTTAGCAACACAGACACTGTTATTAAACTGAATGAAATCAACATTGAACTTACAGTTCTCAGTAGAGCTGCTTATAGCTGAATTAAACTTATTTCATAATGAATGAACTGTACACAGTTATTGAAACTGAGCTGAACCAACAACGAACTAAATGGAGCTAAATAATGACACTATTTTCTTGCTACAGCTGCTTTACAACACAGTTTGGATTTGCCTAATTTTGTTAATTTGTTTAATTGATTCTGTTGCTTTCCTGCTTAATACTGAAACTGCTTTGAAACGATCTCTGTTGTATAAAGCGTTATATGAGATCAAAACAACAAAGTTTACTTAAAAGAGATCTGTTTTTTTTTTATACAGGACACACATGCACACTGAAAAGTTCATTTTACTTGAATGAGATTTGCATTTTCCATTCATGTGGCTTAAGAATAATGATGTTCAGCTGGCATTGCAGAGTTGAAAGCGTGGCTTCAGTTGATGGACTCTGGCGGTTGTGTCTGTGTCTTGAAAAAAAAAGATAAATGAATGGCAGCAACAAGGTCAAGCTCCTCATGGGAGAAGTGGGAACCTTTAAATCAGGTCAGGTTATTATTATTAATTGGCAATAGATTTCAAATGTGACAATCAATGAAGCTACACTGCTTTCTCGAATGATCAAAATGAACGTTCCTTAATTCTTCCATTTGTCCTATTGTCAGCAGTCTTAAGCTCATGGATTATGTGTGAAATTCAGTGGGCATCTGTATACTGTATCCAGTGTAAACAGTGATTATAATGGGTTCTGTTTGCTTATTCTGTTTACTTGTTCTATTTGCGTGACGTTTGCGCATGGTTTAGACAGGTGTTAGCAGCAGTGGGCATGGGCAATGGTGGCAATGGTGTGATGATGTAAAACTATTCATTGATGTCCTTCTTTAGTGGCAGTCATATGCAGATTTATTGCCCATGTGTAGATGTATAGCCCATCTTAAAAAAAAAAAAGATTTGCTAAATCTCATGTGTCCCCGGGAGAACAGTATCAAGAGAACTTACTTGAGCAAGTCAATGCAGACAAAGATCCGTCCTATGAACAGCTGAACAGAACATGCAATATTCTGAGATGTGTCCAGCGAGACCCTTATAGCCAAGGTTAGATTGCATTCCAATGAGGAACAGATACTTCCCACTTCTCACCAGAATGGACCATGATGAACTGGCAACATAATTCATTGTTTGTATGCTTTCAGCATCTGCTGATGGCCCCCTACCGCAAATCTCTGGCACTGAAAGAGGACATACTGACACCATGCCAGCATTTGTTTTGACTAAAGCAGTGCCGTCTAAAGGGAGTGATTCAGATATCGTTCTAGCTGGAAACCTACACAAATGTGCTGATGGATTGGAGGGAACAGACAGCATTAGCTTTTTGGACATCTCTCACAGATTAGAGCTCTTCTGTTGCTCTGAGCTTTTATGGATGGAGTATGAAACTCCAGGATTGTGTTGTGAAGTTAAGCGCTCATATTGGGATAAGATATACATGCATTCTTTTTTTTTATTTTTCAAATATTGTAGGGGCGGTGTGGTGTAGTGGTTAAAAATTTGCCCTAGTAAACTATGCAAAGAGTTTGTCCACAAGCTATGTCTATTGTGCATCTGAGGAGATTATAACAGGACAATTCTCTCTCTAACCTTTTTAGAATCATGGACATTTTTTAAATTGTGACAGTATTTTCATGATAAATATAAATTAATTTTCATAAAAATTAATGCTACATTAAGTAAAAAGTTAACAGTCCTAAAAACAGGTGTTGGTTCATACAAACAAACAAACAAACAAATAAATAAACACATTATTATTAGTAGTAGTATTAGTATGTATTTTAATTTTTGGCTGAAATGTGATCTGGGCAAATTTTCACTCATAAGGGTGATGTTGAGTATAGCCAGAGTAGGGCTGCACAATTAATCGAATTTCTAATCGCGATTACAATTATGGATGCCACAATTACGTAATCGTTCAAAGCGGCAATTAATTGTTCAAAGTCCACTTATGTTATTCTGCGTGCTTAAGATGCATTTTTTTCTTTCTACATGTTATCTTAAGGGTTTTTCCCATTATTTTAATTTTAGTTTTAGTATAACATTATAATACCATTCATATTTTTACTTTTTTTTATCATTTAAAGAAGAAACCAATCCGATGTATATTTGACATCTGAGGCTTAATACTATAGACAAGTTTTTTCAGTTAGAGTGTTTTCAGCTTGTTTATTTTCATATAAAAATACGGCATGCAGTTGCATCAAACAATGGCATAAACATCATTCAATGTAAACTGTGATAATCGTAATTAATAATCGCAATTACAATTACAATTTCAAGGGAATAATCGACAATTATGATTTTTGTCATAATCGTGCAGCCCTAAGCCAGAGTATAGAGAATGGAAATCTATGTCATGGCGTGTTGCATTCTGTGCAATGTAAACATTGTAAACAATTACACACAATGTAAACAATTACAAATCACCATAGATAAAGCAGACCTTTTTTTTTTATTATTCATTTTTGGAAAACCGTTTAGATGCGCTTAGAATAAAACAGAACTAATATGCAGATCTCTTTACGTTAAAACACAAATCGCTCAGTCATGTGTTTGAACTGCAAATATTCATTACATAGTATTCAGTCTTGTTCCCTAAAGGAGGTACTGATAAAACTGATAAGAGAATATGGTAGATCTCAAACAGTGGATCATATATCATCGTTATATATCATCATATCGCCCAGCCCTAAAACTGCTCAATGTTAAAGCATTAAGCCATTATGGGCATAACAGAATAACTTAATATAAAGCTGCTTTGAAATGTGTTTTGCGGATACTGTATAAATAAATAACTTCACTTAAATGCCTTGAATGAAATGCAAGATTCCTTACTATTAGAGATGCTGAACAAGTAAGCAGAGGAATGCAGTAAATAAAGAAAATTAATAGGCTCAATCATACACAAGTGGTCGGGTATCAACAAGATGCCGCAAATAACATTTCCAGATGTGATTTTCCACCGTATTTGTGGTGTGAGCGGTTCAATTCAATGCAAATCGATGTATTTGTAACATATAATAAATCTATAATTATAAAGCCACATTTTAAGTTGTTCCACTTGCACCAAGGTTCAGTAGTGAATGTAGACATTTTGTATTATTTTGTTATATTATTCAATTAAGAGCTTGTTGTGATGGTTAATGCTTACTGTATCAATTGCCATAGCCATTCTCACTGAATAATATTAACAAAAAAATTATATAAAATGTCTACATTCACAACTATTCAGTCCCTACTCTAACTCGCGTGTCCTAAATTCCCACAATACATTGCGCTGTGACATCAGGTTCCCACTCTCTATAGCCACTGAACATTGTTTGGAGGTTAGAAAGCTCTGCAAAGATCATCATAATATATTCACATTAACATGACAGATAGCGAGCGCTGGCAAAGCGTCTGATCTCTAAAATGAATGTCCAAACCCTCAAGCTCTCCTGGATCTCTCCAGCATGCAGGCCTCCATCCAGAAAAGCCACTCCAGCCCCAGGCTTGCATGCGCTGCCTGTCAGGATCAAAGGCATCGGCAGCCCTGGAAACTACTTATTACCCCCCACCCTCACCACTTTACCTCGCCCACATCCCCCCTGCTCAGCCAGCAGTAACTTTGAAGCCCCTTTTCTGCCTATTTAAAAAGGAAAGCACAAGAAAAGCAGGGCCTTGAATCGCCACCGGCCTTGTCCATTTCACATCCCTGTCACTGTAGAACCTTTGTGCTTCTGAATAGCACTCCGATTCTATGCACCTTTTTTTCTTTCTGAAGTTCCTTCTCAGTACGTTGTGACTCAACGCTCAGTGGCTTGTTTAGCTAAGTGAGATGTGTTGAGTAACTTTGCTCTTTTGAAGTCCTTTTTGCATTTTTTGCTCTCAAGCTGTAGGTTTTTCTTCTTCTTCTTCTTCTTCTTCCCATTACAACTTCTTCAGAGTACTGCTGTAAAGTATATCCCCCCCCACCCCACTCCCCCCCACTTGATGTATGTGAAATTGCATACGAACTCAAAAACGACAATTCTGCAATCATCTACTTACCCTGATGTTGATTACCCAGCATGAAGAGAGTTCATGCTGCTCTTTTTCATGCAATGAAGTGAATGGGTACAGATGCTGTTTAGTTTGAAAAAATTACAAGAAAAGCACCATAAAAACATTATAAAAGTATAGACTTGTTCACTATATTGGTGTACTTATAGTTCAAAGTATGAAAAAGATCAACTTCAAAAATTTGAATCTGTTTAATATCCTTTAGTTTGAAAGAAAACATGCCATTTCATTCAATATGCCCAACTTTCATCTAACATGTGCTTGAAATATGAAAAGCTCCAACATTCTTTGATAAACTGGATGTGACGTAAGTACACCCAAGATGGCAGATGTTAGATCCATCTTACAGCCCTAACACCTTACTCCAGTCAGAGAAAGAAGTGTAACAAAGTCCAAAAAATGGCGAAATATACAAGCGGCCCAATGCTTCAGAGGTCTTCCAGGGACCCCGCAGCAGCAGGCCTCACACCATTCTGTAATGAGCTCATCTGTATGCAGTGTCTTCTTCAAATCTGTGTCATCAAAAGCCTTATTTCCCAGCAGGTTTAGAGCTTCTACACATTATCTCTTTTTATTTCTGTCTCTCTCTCTCTCTCTCTCTCTCTCTCTCATTCACTCCCTTTCTCTCTTTCCCTAACCTTAATAGTTTGTAAAGTTGTTCCTTGGCAACTTGAAATGTAAAAGCATGTGATGTCCAGTGGGAAAAATATTTACACCCCATTTTAAAGATTGCTGAGCAGGAGATCACCTGTTACAGAAGCTCAGTGGAAATGCAGTTTGAAATGAATTGTTAGTATGTCTCGCTTTAACAGATGCCTGTATTTTGTCTTAAAGTCTAAATGTGGTGTGTGATTCTTGCTGCAATAATTATATGTGTTAAACTGTTTATTTAGTTGGTTACTAGTTAATAAAAATGCCTTATAATCTTACAACTGAAGTTAAACTTACAATGAAACCTAAACTGCCTATGATAACAAGACCTAAATAATTTTAAACACGGCTAAACCTTCTTAAACAGTGTATAAATGTGCAATGTGCTAAGATGTCTTTCAAACTTTCAAACTTTAAAGGCAACAGCGACAATGAGCGTTATCAAATGGCTAATAAGAAAATCCCATTCAAATATACCCGGCCGGTCGAAGATTGGCTACATGAGAAAGGTAACCCTCACAAGACCCTCAGTGTTTTGTTTTTTTGTTTTTTCGTTGATTTTCATTTGCGTTCATATGCTCCTTGTCATTTCGTTTCGTTATATTTTTGTCCAACCAGGTCTGATGAGTCTTTGCTTAGCCTTTTGCCACTAATTAACCTAAAAATTTTCATAATTTACTTCCCTTCCCATTACGTAATATTTTCGTTGAGTATTATTTTTTTATGTGGATTGTGATCCTCTTTTGTTATTTCCATCAGATCATTGGCCAGTTAAAGGGACTGGTAACTAAGAATAACACTGCATAAGTATGTACTGTAGCTTCTGGACTCCAACTTTAAATCTAAACCAAAACTCAACAAAACTCAGGATGCTTGTTTTTAACTTTTCATTGGAATGATCTTCCATAGCGTTAATGTTAGTGGTGGAATAGCCCAAAAACCCAACCCTTAATGCAGCACGTTTCCAAAAACAACAAATTGGTGCTGAAGTGAAACACCACTTTGCAGACTAACGCAATTTTGTGTTTGAAGCCGGTGATGAAATCGACCGACACCTCTTCAGTTTCATTCAAAAACAGGATGAAAGGCGGGGTGGCCATTTATCAAATTTACCATTAAAGTCCTTTGGATTATTAAATGCGTTTAAAGGTCATTGCCTAAACTACATAAGATGATTATAAAGTCCCTTTAACACTGTCTAAAACCACATTGAAATCCCATTAGTGGTTCTACATGCATGAATCAACATGATATTCCTTTGAAATGTATGCGATGAGCTTTCTTCCTTGCCCGCTGTAATATGGAATTGTAAATGTGTAGTAGTTTTAATCGGCCTGCATTTCTATTTCTAACCATATGAAAAGCCATTTGGAATTTGCCCCAAAACATTTGCATGAGAAGCACCTTAGAGTGAACACGGCAAAAAAAAGAAAAAGGCTAATTTTAATTTTTAATGGATTTTAAAAGCTAGACCGTTAATGCTAACATTAATCAATTAGCTAAATTAAAAAAAAAATTAAATAAAATAAAAAATAAGTGACGTAAACCATTCTGACTGTGTTTTCCGTCACTGGTCTTCCCCTCAGGTCGTCAGCTGACCATTTTTAACACCCAAGCCACCATCTCAATAGGCGGTAATGACCGCAAGCGACCGTATCAAGGCCAGCTCTCTGGTCTTTATTACAATGGCCTGAAGGTTCTCAACATGGCAGCTGAAGGTCATGCTAACATCAAGATAAATGGCAGTGTGAGACTGGTGGGGGATGTGCCCACCAGCAGAAGCCCCTCACGTACCACCACCTCCATGCCCCCAGAGATGTCCACCACCTTCATTGAGACCACCACCACCCTGTCAACCACCACTACCCGCAAGCAGCGCTCACCACCCACCATTCAGGTAAGATCTATTGATTTTCTCCATTTTATCTCCTTGAACCAAGACAAAATTGTGAGGGTTGGCCACATACTCAGCAGTGTAAACATGTGTTTATTGTGCATTTGTATTTCTTCTAAGACATGAGAAGTTAAGAGACATTCAGTTCTCATGTCTAAACCTTTGCCTACTGCCCTTTTAGTATTAAAGCTATTGAAATTTTCCAATGGGGCATGGTGTGTGTCCGTGTCCAGCATTCAAACGTTTATGTACTGTAAAATATGTAAAACACTTAAAGAAAAGTGGGCAAAAATTGGGAAAAAATATCATCTCATGTTGTTTCAAACATTTATGACTTAATTTCTTCTGTGCAACACAAAAGAAGAATATAAGTTGAAGGTAACAGCTTCACTTTTTCACGCATGGAAAATGGATGGTGATTTATACTGACATGCTCCAAAATAAACTAAAAACACCATAAAAGTACCCATATGAGTCGTGCACATATAATCCAAGTCTTCTGAAGTAATAACATAGCTTTGTGTGAAGAACAGACTGAATTTTATGTAGTTTACTTGTACTTTACTAGTAATCTTCCCCTCTGCCTTAGCCATGGCAAGAACAATGGCATTTGCCATTAAAAACATCATACCTTATGTGACTAGTGTGCCAAAAAGTCAGCATTTGTGTGCTCCAAATGAGGGGAAGATTATAAGTGATGAATAACGTCTTATTTTAGTTTGTTCCTCACACAAAGCTATCATTATCGTTTGTTTTAGAAAACATTAAATATAATTTTTTTATAATTTTATGCAACTTTTTTTTTTCATTTTGGAGCTTGGCACTATAAAATACTGTTTTTTGTGTGTGTTTCACAGAAGAAAGAAAATAATAAAGTGTGGGGATTATATAAGTGTGCGTATATGATTACTATCTTCCCTGGGGGTGAGCAAAGCATTTCTATCTTTGCTGTACTGTATGTGCTGAATAGATGCCTTGTGGAGTCTGTTGACTACCAGAATGCTTTCTTTTAACACAGTCTGACATGAGCCCAATGAATGTCTAAACATGCTGACCATTTCATTGATGCTAGGGGAAAAATTAAAGCAGCAGTCTTCGTATTAAAGCCATAACTCTCTCTAGGAAACTACTCAGCGATAGGCCAAGAAGACTTATTCTCTCCTCACCTTTAAACAGATCAGCCAACATAATAATAATAACCTCTCTTGTCAGTGCTGACTTCATCAGTGCGTTGGCAACCCAACCATTGATAAGAGCCTTTAAACTCACATGCAGATCATTTCAGGGCATAAAGGCTCTTTTTCCTTCTTGGCCTTTTAGCTATCTACTGTATATTTCCAATAAGACAGGAGCTGGGTGTGAACTCACATCACCCATGACTTAACATGTTAACTAGTAGGCCGCAGCCCTGCGTGAATGCTATTTATATATCATGTTAGAATATTAGCACTGTTACCTCACAGCAAAAAGTTGAGTCATGGCTAAATCAGGACATCATTCTGTTCTTTCCATGTTGGAGTGGCTCGTCTGAATACTTCAATTTCCCCAACAATCCAAGGATCTACAGGTTAGGTGAACTAGAGACTGCATTAGGTGTGAGTGAGAGTGTGAATGTGTGTATCTGTCTGTGTATTTTAGCCCTGTGAGGGACAGCCCACCTGTTTCCCTTCTTTCGGCCAAAGATGCTGGGATAGAGTCCAGCATTCCTGTGACCCTACATAGCAGAAGCAATATAGAGATAGAGAATAGATAAATGGATGAATATTAGTACATGGTTACAGTCTGTGCTTTTGCTGAGTAAGGCATTCTCCTGTATTAACATCCTTGTTGGTCCTGGAATAATATCAAATTTAAGTGATGTACACAAGATTAGGGTTGGGGTTTGGGACTAGGCTTAGGTTGAGGGCTGTGGATTGTACCATTCTGATCGACCAATCATCAGCCTTTGATTTTACCAATCACTACCCCTTGAGTTGGTTGGGGTTAGATTAGGGTTAGGACAATGTTTGACAGGAATGTTGCTCCAGGACACATCCTACTTTAATTTGTAATATTATGGTCAATGAAAGTGCTATATCGCTCATGAAAGCTAATTAATCTGTAATGCATTCTAAAAGAGATTCAGTGAAACAAATCACACATTTTATGAGCACTTTATTTTTTCTGCTTTGATCTGTGAATTTTATAAGACACTCTCACATGTATAGCAAAATTAGAGATCCAGGTTTTAGCCATAACATCTTTAATAAATATAGTCAAAATACTTGTACAGTAATGTTCTCACTCCAACAAGATCTCCATTTTGGGTTTGTTGTAAGCGTATTTTTTCTAAGACAAGCTCTCCCAGATCAATTTCCAGGCCATCAGGCAGTTTGATTCATGCTGTGCCCACAAATTAATTTTCCATAGGTCTCACTTTTAGCACTCCCTTGCTGCCTGTCAGCATAGACAGCAAGAGAAGTACCTGTAGAAGCTGACAGGTTTTCCACCCCCTGAGGGTCCCAGGCTGTGACCGATGTTGGGCTGTTCTGAGTGGTTTGGGGTCCAGCGGCTACACTTGTAAGGTGCTATTTGGCACAGCCCTATGATTCCCCGCCCTTGCAGGCCACCCCAGGGTCCGAAAAGTAAGAGGTGTGCGATCATATTTTATCCATAGACGGATTGAGCTGATCCAGGCAGGGACAGTAGAGCAATCTCATGCCTAATTAATGATGGGACTCCTGGGAGAGGTCTTGCCTCACACTTGATCTCTGGTCACACATTCATCTCCAGCAAGGGCTGTTCACTGTGCCCCACAAATTAATTTTCCATAGGTCTCACTTTTAGCACTCCCTTGCTGCCTGTCAGCATAGACAGCAAGAGAAGTACCTGTAGAAGCTGACAGGTTTTCCACCCCCTGAGGGTCCCAGGCTGTGACCGATGTTGGGCTGTTCTGAGTGGTTTGGGGTCCAGCGGCTACACTTGTAAGGTGCTATTTGGCACAGCCCTATGATTCCCCGCCCTTGCAGGCCACCCCAGGGTCCGAAAAGTAAGAGGTGTGCGATCATATTTTATCCATAGACGGATTGAGCTGATCCAGGCAGGGACAGTAGAGCAATCTCATGCCTAATTAATGATGGGACTCCTGGGAGAGGTCTTGCCTCACACTTGATCTCTGGTAGAAGAGTAGTGAGAGCGTGCATATCCATTCATCTCCAGCAAGGGCTGTTCACTGTGCCCCGGGCCACTGTTTGCTCAATGATGCTTCTACACACTAGGGAATAACAGAAGCAAGAGGCATTGTAGAAATGCTGACATGACTGAAGACCACACTGAGCACACAACCACATGCTGTTTAGTGGTGGTAGCTGTTTTTTTTCTTTCCACAGAGGGTACAGTCAGCACCCTTGATGGAGTAATAATAGGAGTATCAATACTAATAGCTGCAAGCTGTTGTATAACATTTTCTAGATGTAGTTAGGCTGTAAACGTTTTTCTCAACCAGGGTGTCTCGGACAAATTTGTCTGAAGGTAAAGGGCACATTCCCTCTGTTAGCTCTCCTTTAACGTGTTTTTTTGTCCTGGAATTGTATTCCAGCTCCTTGTCAAGTGTGAACACGAATGCTGCTTCGGTATGTGTTAGAGCACATACTGTACAGACTAGAGCTGGGGTCGACAACTGGTGGACTCCAGTCCGAATCTGGACCGTGAGATGCGTCCATCCGGACTACGTAGCTTTTTGACATAATGAAATAAATAAATGCCAAATGCTATTTTCTAATAAAATCAAATTTATATCAAGCACATCAAGATCGGCTCAGTAGAGCCGTTTGGGTTCTACGGTGCCACGGGTTGTTACTATGGTTAACTTTTGCTACGGTCAGATGTGCGGTCATGACTCGTGCATGCAGTGAAGAGAGCAGAAAGTGGCACGCAGACAGATGAAACTTTCAGTGAGTGAAAAACAATGGAATTCTCAAAAATTAGGAAAGTTGACGGGCCCTTAAAAAGTCTAAATTTAGTTGTATCAAATTTAAGGCCATAAAAAGTCTTAAATGGTACAAGAAAGTCTTAATTATGTTTTCAGTAGGAGTTAAATTTGAGGACGGTAAGACAAATATCGATACGGCTTGATGTGACGAATAAACTTCAAAAGGATATGATTTTATTGAATAAATAAAGCTCTACACATTTCAAAGTCACACAGTAAAATCCTGAGTGTTAAATTAACACTGAAGCAGTGTTAAAGTTAATGTTTTTTCTTTTCAACTTACCGTTTTGGTGAATAGTGTTTGCTTTAGTTGCATCTTGACCCTTGACTTATTTAATATAAGTTTTTCTTTGGTTGTTACAATTGTGTTTATAAAGCACATATGTGATGCCAAGGAACTTATGATAAAATCATTTCATGCGTTTGAGTCTCTGATTGCATTTTGTCTAAATTTGTAGTGCTTTTATGATTTCTGTATTATTGCAGTTCTATGATATGAGACAATGTGAGAAAACTTTATAAACCACTATTATAAATATGGTTCGTCAAGAGGTTTCAATTCTGGCACTCATAGACATGATGAATCAGCATGTGAATCTCAGCGATGGTGACAAAATATTCGGATAATTTTGATATGATTTTTGAACGTCACAAAACAAGGCAGTAAAAAGTCACAACAAAAATAACAGCAAATAGTAAGAATAAATGAAAATCCTAAGACAATGCAGCGGCATAATTTAGTCATGTCGCAATGCATGCTGGGAGCCATGGATGAGTTATGATTGGTGCACCCAGAAGGCAATGCTTCATGAATCTGTCTGATGATCGTCACCATTGTTGAGATTCATATGCTGATTCTTGATGTCTGTGTGTCTAAACAGCACAGGTGTTCTAAACTGGTGTACAAAGTGTTTATTTTAAAGTTCTTCATATTTGTTTAAAGTGCAGTTATGATCAATAACAAACTATATTACACATCACCACTGATGACATCAGTGAATCAGGCTATGCATGACAACTACATCAGTATCAA